AGAGGCAAACACTGTATGTACAACCTGGAGTAGTAGAGAAATTTGGAAAGAAAACAGAACACGGAAAGATTCCCAATGTAAGGTTGTCACAAAAGTTTTGAGCAATGGAATTGCAGAAAGCACTGCATGACTATATCAGCAATCACTGCCTTATAATGAACGTACCCATGTGAGTAAGAGTATCCTTGTTGTGAAGAGCCTGCAGCGGACTGCTGAGGCTGCTGCCCTACGAAACCAGTTCCAGGCTGTTGCTGTTGTTGCTGCTGTGGTGGCTGTTGCTGCGGTGGTTGGGTAGGATACGATGGCGGTCCTTGCGTTGGTACTCCACCCATCGCCATTGACGACACTGAGGATGAACTGCTGAATCCCGTCGGCTGATTCGCGCTTGATCCCGAAAACGGTTGCCGCGACGCTGATGCTGAATGAAATGATTTTAAATTGAATTTCATCGACAAAAAGGTATTATCAAATCCCTACGAAATCGATTCCAAAAAAACCATTAATGGCATTCACACTCTATTATGAAAGCGATTTTATAATAGAATATGCAAATTACGAATGCAATCTGATATCCGAGATACCAGCGTCGTACCTTGGAACCACTGAGGAGCTTTTGAATAGACATTACAAAACACTTATCAGAGCGCAATCAGGGCTTATTTAGTCACAGCTGCTAGTCATATCACGCGCACAATACTTCGAAAAATTAACAAGAACTTGTAACGCCGAGAACTTACAAAAGCCTACCCCTAGAAATGAAAGATGACTGATAATCGAATTAGCCTATCCAAGACGCAAAGAAAAATGGAAGATCTAACTTCAGCACACCCGCTTCGCCTGCACACATCTTCATGTATTTTTACTCGCTAGCCTTGGACTTTTTGAAACGATTTTCCTCACTCGAAAAATCTATAGCATCGCACCTTATGCCCTCCGCTTTTCGCTCGGACCCTTCCTGAGCTATTCTGCGGACTAACGACTGACATAAAGATTTGCAGAAACACTGCAGTAGGCTCTGGCCGGTATTTCCACAGGGAGCAAGCTGGCCTCATAGCTGTTCGACCTTTGCACCCACCTTGACCCCACTTTCTATTTATTCTATTCCCACTGTTTCGTACATGAATGTATCACTTCTTCTCAAAAGAAAGACCATCGATCCAGATCCAACTATTGTTTTGAATTACGTTTTCCACGTGTATAATTAAAATCAATAATCGACAAAAAAACTTACAAAGTGCACCTTGCGCTCCGAATATTGCCTGTTGCATCATTGAGGCAGGAGGATTTGGTTGAACAGGTTGCTGCTGCATCATTTGCGGTACACCACTCTGATAACCCATCGACATTCCTGACGAGCCACCGCCCACTGCAATTAATGCATATTTTCTTTCCATTAGTGTTGTTCGCTGCGGATGACGGGGTGTGCTAGAGGGGGAAGGGCTTGGCGCAACGCTAACCCGTCTTTTCTTCTTTTTCTTTGGCAAGACTGTATTATGTCGTTCATATCAGACGTCAGTTATTGTCGCTTTGTTGCTCCCACGACTGCGGGTTGGCGGCGAGCCCACCAACACGCCCTTCACCCGCAACGAATGAGACTATCTGAAAAGGTCTATCAAACCAATGTGTTTATCATTAAAGAGCTCACTCATCATCTGCTGGCTTTGCATACCCATTGGAGGTTGCTGTGGCTGCCCAGGACCTGGCTGTCCATAATAGCCCATGCCTGGTTGTTGCTGATGGAGTTGGCCTTGGTTCGGGGGCGGATAACCACCCGGTGGCATGTTCTGTGAGAAAAATGGAATAAGTAAAACGACATAACAGGAAAAAAACTGATTCGAAAATTAGTAAGAAAGAGGACAGTGTGGAAACTTACTGGATTTCCCATTGGATTACTATTCTGCATCTTTGATCAATCGTCTGTCAAGGCGGGAAAAGCCTAAAACCTCACACAGTAGGGACAGATTCTATCACTCTACATTAATTTTAAAAAAACACCGAAGCGTCCGACTTCAAGTGCGGTAAAAGTAAGGAGTAACACCTTCACAATGAAGCTAACAAACTATGATTCTTTAACTTCATACGATGCAAAACTACATAAACCTTACAAACTGCAACATTTAACTTTGAAAATGGAGATACTGGATGCCTACTTCGTGATCAACAACACGTTGTAGACCCGTATTTCAGAAATCAGAAGATCAAATGATGGATAAAACGATAACATACCAAAGACCTATTAATGCGTAAAGCAAGTAAATTGTTATATCAACGGGAGGCATACTCAAAAGTGATTACATGTCACGATCCAAAGCGAGTGTAACCGGAGAAGAAAGAACAAAAAAGAAAGAAAAGATCGAGGGCCATGTATAAAGGCTTGGAGGACTACTTTTTAGCAGCCTCTTTAATCATTCTACGAGCATGCATGAATGCTCCTACTAAACCTCCTATCTGGATGCGATCTGAGGCACCAACTGCCAAACGTTGCTCGGTGTCAGCAAGCGCAGAAATCAGGCAAACCATCACCTATAAGAAAATGCATTAAAGGTATGAATGGCAGAGAGGATTATTACAGGAATAGATCCAGTGCGAATAAATCTTCCAGTCCTCCAGAACGGCATCACCTTAATGAGTGATTTCTCCCCACTCTAATGCGAACAATGCGAAAGCGAGCGAAATCAGCTCAAGGGGAATGGCGAGCATCTCTCCTTCCGTTTATCGCAATGTTCCGCTCACGCATGTCAACTATACTTTCCGCCGTATGCAAGGTGGGCTAGATGACCACCAACCTTCCAGAACTAAGGGAAAATATGGAATGTCTTACCTTGCTTCTACAACGGTGCAATATTAGCAACCTCTCTCTCCATAAAACCTCGGTATAATGGTAAACTTCGCAGTTATTGTGCTAATGATACTTTTTTAGGTGGAACTCTTTATTTTAACAAGTCGTCGCCCTCAGAGGCCATTCCACCACCGCATGAGCAGAACGACGCTCAGCGTTAGTTTCATTTAGTGAGATTAACGCTACTAATACTAGAAGTAGTAATTTAATTAAGTATCAACTAATACCAAGTCCGCTCGTGCGGTAGTGAACTGGCCTCAGTGGACGACCGTTCTGGACGAAAATTCAGCTAAAGATTTATTAAAAGGTTACCAAAAAACTTTTTGGCACAGTATAAAGACGAAAGACCAGAAATCAGACGACTCCGATAAAGAGGGCAACGATGCTATTGTGAGGGTAGGGACGTCACTCTTAGCACCTGACAGCCAAAACACGAGTGGCACAGCGCCAAGTCTCATAACAATGGATATTAGCGCTGTGAAGGTAGAGAAAGGAATCGGGAGAAATCTCGATAAAGAAAAAACCATCCGTGCAAGTACGATTAATTTCGAGTCGAAATAATTAGATTCCTTGGTGAATAAAGACCGCAGATTTCTCGCTTTTTGAAATAATGCTGAGAACGACGGTAACAGTAAAGGCTGTCACTCGAGAAAAGTGAAGAAAAACTTACATTCGCGGGTAAATCCAGTTGAAATATAACATCATGCAACCTCGAAAGCACGTCGATCAAAGCATAGCCCTCTCCACCACACTCTTTTTCTAACTCTGGAAGATTGTCCCATCGGGCAATGCATAGAAAACGGCAAAAACTTTAATCAGACTCTAAAAGGCTGAGATAAATCCAAAAAAAACGAACTCCGGCAAGCATGATGCAAACGAATCGTTCATCAGAATCTGCAAAATTTTCTCAATGTGTTTTGGTGTAGGTTGTCCAACGCATTCGTATACACTCGTTTCATCAATAACCGGAGAAGCCATTGCGACACTCTAAACACTGACTTGGTTGACTGGAAAACTGCAGTATTCTCAACGAGCCAGTTTCCCTTTTCGACGGGGGCAGACGGAAAATTCGTCTCTAGGGGTAGTTTAATCTCCTGACACAAATAATACAACCGCTTGCCCGATGACCTCCTGACGCCCGCGCCACAGACGCCGGAGCTAAAAAACAGTAGATCAGCAAATTTGCTGAAAAGTTGTTCCCAAGGTAGTACGACCTCCTGAACGCAAATATCACATTTCTTCAGTCTGAAACCGCCTGACGCAAGCATCGTAAGCGACTCGTCCCATGCTGCTTTGACTACAGCGCGTGTAGAATGGACCATAGTCGGTTCCGTGCCAAGCGGTGTGCTACGATAGTTAGGGAGACGGTGAAGAAAGTAGCACCCTTTCAGGTTGCTTGTAATAGTGAAACTCCCTTTACTAAGGCTCAGCATTAGCACAGAACAGATCACATTCTTGTGAGAAGTCTGCAGGGGGGGGGGGGCAGAAGCGGGTAGCGCTACCACTTGTACCTTCTTCACTCCACACTTAATCTTCCTAACACTCCAAAAAGATGCAATATTAGTGTTCAGGAGGTCAAACTACCCCAAGAAGTAGGTTTTTGGCAAACTTGGTAATCTAGTGTTCTTTAGCGAAGTCTGGGGAAAGCGGATGTTATTCACGTACATGAGGTCAAACTAGCCCAGATGACAGCTTTTTGGTCAAGTCTGCCCTTGTATAAAACCGTCGGATAAAAGTGGCTTGATTTTGCATGATTGGGGCAGTTAAGGGTGAACACGGGGAAAAATTGCAATAATTTCGCATGGAAATAACGAAACATGTGTGAAGAGTATCTGAGGACATTTAAAATCACCGTCGCATAATCGCCTGACTGACACTTTCAAACAGCGCTTGTTTGCCGTCCTCAGTAACCGAAAGCTTTTCCTCCGTAATCTGAGGAGACATATATGGGTGTTAGCAGATATTCTCAGAATGGAAAGATGCACCTACCACGTGATTAAGTTTAGGCAAGATATGGTCAATAGACAAAGGGGCAAATCGAAATCGGGTACACCTGAAAGTAAGTGGTGAAATGGTGCTAAGCATCACACACCTTTCAAAAAATCAACTTACCGAGATTGAATAGGCAGGAATTATAGAGGAGAGGTAGTTGCAGATTATACAAAAACGAACATTTGAAGTGTATTTCTCTATGACACTGAAACAGGCGGGGTGGTGACCAGGGGGTAGTTTCAGCATACTCTGAAACTATTTGAAAAAACTGGTAAGAAAGGCAAAAAGTACCGTCTCAATGCATTCTGTGCATCCTTTGTCATAGCGTCAGCTTCATCGAGAATTACAAATTTTAGGTCCGTTGTTTCCTTATCTCTCTGGAGTGACTTCGTCTGCGCAAATGTTATGATCTCTTCCCTGCAGTTCAGAAATACGTACTGATGTGAAGCAAAAAACAAAAGTAGAGGAGAAAGTCCGCACAGTGGGATAAAATATTGAAACTTTTTTCTTTCCAGAGAAAAGAGAGGAGATTATGAGGGTTAGCGAGATCCCCAAAACATAAACATAATAAGTCAACATAGGAACATAACGACCATCGTGCGATCAAGTAACCACCCCGCCCAATATCTTTAGCAACACCCAACTTTCATTAGTGAGATTTCCTGATGGTGCGCTTATTCCGCCGCTAGCTCTTCCCATTTCGAATGGAGTGAGGTGATAAAGACCAAAGGGCGATACCAAAGTGAAAACCATTCGACCACGCCCCTTCTTCGCATGTGCAAGTGCGGTTCAGGATGGGGCTCAATATGGGGCATTTCGGGCGTTTTTTCTACTTTTTGCTTCTCTTTCTCTTCGTGTTATTTGCCCTTATCATCAGTGTTCCAGCCGCATAATTTCCATTTTTGGACGCGGAACATGCCTTTAACTTCTAACTCAGATTTCAATTCCAGAGAATTTGAGTCTAACAATTCGGTCAGTAGGGCCATAAAAAGATTCCCGCAGTCTAACACTTACACTTTTTCATTTCCAAGCTCCAGTTTCGATTTCTTTCAATTTCTGGACCCCAGTTTTCAATGTACCCCAGTTTAAACTACAGCAGTAAAAGTGTGCAAGTTGTATTACTTGCGTTTCCGGAACTCCAGAAAGTCCTGTGATCCTTTTCATCGTACTTGCTATATTTGTTTTCGAAATTGTATTTTGGCCAAAGGACACATGACTGTCATCCTCTTGACCATCTATTATTATTTATTTTTCTATTTTCTGCTTTTGATCTCATTTGTCGGGCTAACAGATAAAAGTGAATAATCGAAATAGTTCCAGGCGAAGGAAACACAAAGAAAAACAATTTGGGATCGCCCACCTCACGATCCCGATTCCTCTATCGTCAGAAGCATTAAGCTCAAGTACCATTGATTTTCGCTGTTTGTCCGAGTACATTGTGTTCACTACTGCCAATATAGCACTTGTTTTACCAGTACCAGGTGGTCCATAAAACAACAAGTGTGGTAATCTGTCCGATTTCACGAAGCGAGTAACTGAAATGTGAAAGCTCAAACAAACACGTATATAGCATGGACTACTTTGTCACTGAATTTCATTCCTAATCTTAATGGCAAAATTGTGCGTGAATCTGAAGCAAGCTATGTAGGCAAAAGAAGACGGAAAAGGAAAAAAAAGAGGTAGGACATTAAACATACGGGTCTTGATTATTTCCTCATGAGATATCATATCAGACAGGGACTCTGGCCGATACTTTTCTACCCATGGTAAGTTGATTACGGCCGGTGGCAACGGCATATCCACCTCCATCATCCTGTCTGAAATAAAAACACAACTACAGAAGAAATCCA